AGGGTCATAGGTCTAGTACTTGTCCATCTTGCGGAATTCTTCTGCATCACCTTCGTCCATCTCTTGCTTGCTCAAAGGCTTGCTCTCCTCATTGTCTGAGTCCTCATAGGCCTGATCCACGTCATCCTCGCACACGATGGTGTCTTCTGTTGGCGAATACAGTGCACCCACAAAGATTCCAGCCACGAGCTCTCTTGGCCTCTGGAGTCATCTCACCAGACTCTCCTGCCCATGCCCGTCTTGCAGACATGCCCAAATCCATAGGTGCTGCCTCATCACCGCCCACATCAGCCGTAGGTCTTGATGCCCACGAAGGACCTGATTGCACAGGAAAGTCTCCCTCGTCCTCCTCTTGGATGACCTCCCCACTTGGCTCCAGCCTGGGGCTCTTCTTGGCCGTCTCTTCAGTCGGGATCAGGTTAGGTGTCTGTGGCAAGGCAATATCAGCCTTCCTCTTTGGCCTGCCGATGGTTGTGCCCATGTCCCATGGCACTCCAATCATCTTCTCCATCAGCTCCCTGTTGTAGCGCCTGCTGCTGTATAGTCTGCGCACACTCCTGGCCGTCACTGTCCCTTCCTCTGTTCCCAGTAGGTATTCATTACTGGTCACACTTCTCCCAAGGAAGATACCCTGACGCCATGCCGTCTCCCCTTTGGGCACCACTGCCCTGTTGTGGGATCTCCTGGCCTTACTCATGGGGATCTTGAAGAGCACCGTCTCACCAAAGGGCACCAGCTGCGAGGTGTATGCCGTGTCGAAGGCATCTTGATATGCTGTCCTTTGGTTGCCCTTGACGCTGAATCTGCTCCTGATGAATGAGCACCACCTCACCAGCCATGGCCACAGGTTGTGTGAGGTGTGGAGCGTGATGCCATAGCTTGCTTCTGTCTGATACCTGAGGGTGAGGACGTCGCCACGGAGCAACTTCTGGAATGCTCCCATGGTTCCAAGGCTCTCAGATGAGTACCTTGGCACTTCCTCGAATTGGACCTTGAGTCCCTCAGCTCCTGGAGCTTTCCCTTCTCGCAGAGCACCGGCTATCTTGGCAACAATCTTCTTGATCACAGGCTCGTTGTCACTTCGGAGTTTCACCTGCATGTAGCCCAACTGTGCTATGAAGGATGTCACCGTCTTGATCACATAGGGCGTCTCCAGGTTCTTGCCAGAAATGGACATCGCCAGGGCCATCCCGGTGCCACTGTCCACGATGGAGAGGATTGTGTCTGAGCTCTCCTCGAACCGCTCTGCAATGGATGTGTCTGTCTTGAGGAAACTGTAGTCCAGCTCGAAGTGGTTCTCAGCCAGCTTCTGCTCCATTGTTCTGCGTCGATGAGGATCATCCATTGCATGGCCTCTGGTGCAAAACTCACACCAAGGTGCTGGCGGCAGATGTGTGATCAGGTGCCGCTCCACTTCCTCCGTGTCCGGCTTCTGGGGTACAGGCACATAAGAAACATCAGGTTCTCTGCCCTCACGCAAGGCTTGCTGTCGGGCAGAGTTTCTCTCAACGTAGTCGCGTGCCCGTGCCCTCCTGATCGACAAGGCTCTCTCTGCAGCCTGCAACCTTTTCCACAATGTGTGCTTGTCACCATAGATAGGCTCCTTGAGCTCTCGAAGTCTGGCTCTCATATCCTCCACCTTGCTCCATCCATGTAGTCGTGGACGATCAGCTCGAGCATGGGCCTCATCCTCCGCAAACTCAGGTGGGATGGGGACCGTCTCGATCCCTTCACCCTCATCTTCGATGCCTGCATACTCCCACTCATATTCTTCTCCTTGTCCAGCCACAGGTGCCACCACACCCGTGCTCAACTCGATGTCCATGGGGATCGTCTCGTCGTCCCGCACCTTGGCATAGTAGGAGTTGCAGTGAAGGTACAGAGGAATCTTGAAGTCCAGCTGGGGGTGTGTGAGGAAAGGCTTCATGGGATTCCTCATGTCTGCTGCAAAGCCATTCCTGCTCATCTTCCCAGCACTCAGGACATCCTTACTGGCCTGCTCGCTGACCTTGAACTCTGTGACTGCATTCAGGAACTTGTTGTCCTCGCCGATGATCTTGTAGTTCACCTTCTTCTTGCCAAGTCGTCCAAGGCACTGTCCTGAAATGCCCATCAGTTTCACCTCACTCGGCAGTTGCCGCCAAAGCTCGGCCGACACAGATGCTCATCACTGCCTGAATCCCACAAGAGGTACTTGATCTCCTTGTCAGGCGACTGGGACGCCAGCAAATGCCAATCCGATGGCTGCTTGCTTCGGTGAATCATCATCACCCACATCTCGTCTGAGTACTCGTCCTCAATGTCGAACACATCTTCAGCATCTGCCCAGTTCACACGCTCTCCATCACCAGGCAACCAGTAGTACACTGCATTTGCGCTCTGTCCACCAACGGGGGATGCAGATCCAGTTGCCGTAGACGATGTCGCTGTGATGGCATTGGTGCTACCACCTTTTCCTTTTCCCTCACGCTTGGCCTTGTCTTTGGCCAGCAATCGGCAATCTGCTTTCTTGTGCCCCCATTTTCCACAGTAGGAGCACTCGCCGTTGAACTTCTTTGGAGGAGGTGGCTTTCCCTTCTTGTCAAACTTGCCACCCTTGTTGACTCCTTTGTCACTCTTCGATTTGCCACCTTTCTTGCCCTTGTCAATGGACACTGCACCAACATCCATGGGTGCTGCTCCACCATCGTCCTTGCCCAACTCGCCCTTGGCGTTGTAGTATTGCCCTGCTTGAAGGAAATCTCGCACGAACTTCTTGGCTCGCTCATAGTTCGTCCCAACTTGAGCTCCAGCGGTCCTCAGGGCTGACCTCAATGACATGGGCGCATGCTTCATGAGGACTGCAATCTTTGTGGAGTCCGAGACATGCTCCTTGGCCTGGATCTCATAGCGCCTCGTCAGCACTTCCCAACTCTCCAAGGATTCCAGGAAGTCGTTCTCCTTGACGGTCTCCCATGCTGGGGCGATGATGCTCATCAGCATGGCTGTACGCCTTCCTCCAACATCGGGCTCATAGGCCTCGCAGAGGGCTTTCCAAGCCTGGAAGCTGTTCCCATTCTCCACATTCATCAACACCTGTAGGGCCCTGCCATCAACGCTCTGGGTGAGGAGGTTGAACAGGATGATGGCCTTCTCTTGGGCGTGTTGCCCCATATCGCTCAAGATCAGGTCGCTGTACCGGTTGGCATTCTCTGCAGCTTGGATGAGGGCCTGATAGCTCGTATCCAGCAAGTTGAGGTACCCTCTTGCCACGAAGACCCAAGCTGCCCATTCTTCCTCTTTGCCTGAGAAGCTTTTCAACTTGCCAATGGCTCGGGTGTCGATGAGACCACTGCCGCCGACCTGCTGAGCTGGAAGGGTTGGCTGAGCTTGCTGCTGCTGAGCTTGTTGTTGAGGTAGAAGACCTGCTTCAGCTGCCGCTGCCAGGGAATCTCCGAGCGAGAAAGCACCTGGCGGAGTGAGCGGCGCAGCGTTCGAAGCCATGGGCGCTGCTTGACACCTCCACTCGGGGAGGAATTACACCGTGCCCACACCGCTATGCGGATTTACAGGGTGTCCTCCACGCAGGCGCCCACGCGCGGGTCTTACCCTGTCTAACAGGGGACCCGGAGCAGGAGCTCACCCTGCTCCGCTACCATGCAAGCGGGTAGCGCGCTATTTTCAGCCTGAAAGGGGCTAGCGAACAAGTGCAAATGTCAAGCTGTACAACAGATACATTATGCCTTGCAGATATCTACGTTCCCAGAGATCCAATGGAAACCTTTGAAAATGCAAAGCTTTTAACATACAAGGTTTCTATATAGGTGTTTAAATCTAAAAATGATTATCTGCAGAGATCTATAGAGAATCTTTTATAACATAAAAGCGTCTATATACAATCTTTCCAAATCTAAACATAATTATAAGCAGAGATCTAGAGGACAATTGTTAAAATAACAACTTTTATGGCCTGCTTCTTTCCTAATTATCTTGTTCAAAACCATCTGAATGACTGATTGCTGCTTCCAAAACAATAAAATGGCCCTGACTCAGGAATACATAATATATGTGTTCATATAGAGAGAGCAGGAATAGAGTATATGTGTGTTTATATGGAGAGGGGCTGCCACTGAAGCATTTACCTAAAATTTTGGGAAAACAAAAACCCAGGCCCCATGACCACCCGCTCTCTATATTTAATACCTAGAGAAGGAAAACACTAGCAATTTGTAGGCTCCTGGATGAAACATCGCTTTTTCAAGGGAAGAGATGGAAAACATCGTCTTTTCTGAAAAAAAAACACCCCTCCTTTGGTAAAACCGCTGAAGAACCGCCCCGACGACCGCCAACAAGCACCAGTCTGGATCTTGCTTTCAGGTGCCGTGCCGTGCGGGATCTTCATGGATCCACAAGTCACCAAATGTCGACCATTCTTCCGATTCTTCCATCTGCTTTGGTCATTGAACGAGACTTTTGGTGAAATTGGGGTGACAGCATCAAACGTAGTTATCCCATACGGAGCACGCACTTCATCCGTACCAACCCATACAAAGCCCGTAGTTTCGATCTTCCCAAAGAAACATTGTCTTTTGAGAACCCTATTTAACCCGGACGGAACCCGTACTAGCCCATACTACAGAAACCCGTACTACAAATATGGCTTGTTTGCATCCCTGCCGACCAGATGCAATTTGTGAGTTCTTAGGCTCACAGCTGCATGTTGACGGCTCACTTTCGATCCGGGTGTACAGTGTTCTTGGTGAGGTCGACATGTTTTTGACTTGTGTCCGAAATTCAGGTGCGTGCCGTCAGATCCAAAACACACATTTTGGAAAACATTGTCCTTTCCTGAAAAAGATCGTTTTTATTTTGTTTTCATGTACTGTACTACGTTACTACGTTTTCTTGGTATCTTGCTTCCTAGGTATGTATACATGTACTAAATCATGAATGATCATGAATGGATTGGGGATGCCATGGCCATCATGGCCACCACTCCATCTGTATTTACACCGGGCCACTCTCGTCGGACCAGCGGTCACGGGCGTTCTCTGTGGGGTTCTCGGTCTCCCAACCTGTATCCACCGGCGTGCCGGTTGGAACGCCCGGTTCCGGGTGGTCGCTGGGGGCTTGCGAAAGGTGGATCTAGGTGGAGGAGGGATTCTCTAGACTCTAGAAGGAGGGCAAGTATGGTGATGGTTCCCATCGAAACTGGTTGAGTCACCTGAAAGAAGCTGTGGATGCGCTGAAGAACGGACACCCCCCCGACCCGAAGCAAAAAAGATGCTGCTGCTGCTCCTGTTGCTGCTGCTGTTGATGATGATGGTGGTTGAGAAGTAACTGGCAACTAGCCCTAACGTGATTTTCTGTAATTCCCCATCAAACCATCTCAGTCATCAACCTGAGCTCCTAAATTGGGACTCAGGAACTCGCATCCCGCTCGATGACTCCGCCACCCTGCTGGTACAAGCCCTCGATCTGCAGAAGGTCTGCGGGCATGTCAAAGATCTGCAAATCCTCAATCGGCGATATATTTCTTCATCAAAACCTTGAGTCACAGGCATGACAGCGGCCATACCTGGGTGTTTCATTTCATGTCATTTAATCTTGGTAGACTTTTGGCCCACTGACCACTCGTAGGATGATACATGTATATATGTATAAATCTTTACTCCAGGACGTGTAATTCTCTCGAAAACCTTATACAAAGAAAACATTCCTTCATCCCTCCTCAGGGTCCTGACACATTGCAGGGTACATTCATGTCTTCATCCCACTACTAAATGAAGATCTTGTGAAGCAAGACATGCAAGGCTGAATACTCTTTCAAGGCTGAATGCTTCTCGGCATCACGTTCGCACGCTTCCGAGCTTCCTTGATCCCCATCGCCCCCCTCCGAACGGGTTGCTTCAGGCGCCCGAGGCACGGAGAGGTGCCCCCAGGCTTTGGTGTCGCCCTTGGAATTTCCCACCACGCAAACGGTGCCACTGGCGGCACCTGACCTCAAATGGATCGAGATGGAGAAGACGGAGGAACACAACGAGGAGCGGAACACGTGGAACGTGGCCGCTTCCAAGCGAGGATGGATTTGACGGACGGACTGCGAAGGTGGAATCGATCCTGCGGATCCGCTTGGAGACGAAGTGAATGACCAAAAATGATTGGAGACGGAGAATCCAATTTTGGATGATTCAGAGAACCACTGATCATCATAGTGGCATATGTGTATGTGTATGTTGTACTGTCAGTGATGATGAGGGTCATTTATATTTCGTTCCTTGCAAAAGAAGCGACTTTTAAGTTGCCATCCGGGCCCAGCCTTCTTTCCCACAAGAACACCTACCAGTACCTTCCTTGCGGGGTCTCCAGTGGCCTATACAATACCTTGTGGATCTCCAAGGAGCACCCCGACATGATTGTCGAGGTATTCTTCAACACCTGAAAGTTCTAGATCCAGCCAAGTTTTTTAAAGGTAAAGGTGCGTATACACTGCTGGGTTGCCTATGCAGGTGTTTCGCATGGTCAGAATTTGTGGGAAGGGTGGCTTCGCAAGGCTTCGCGCAACACCAGAGGCTTCGCACATAGGGACATTTATCATGACGCTCCTCGTGTCTGTTCCTTTCTCAGTAAATCTGAGTCTTTTTGTTGAGGCCCAATACAAAACTTTTAAAACTCCGGAAAGTTGGGGCTGTTGAGCTTGTTGCGCTTTCCGGTTTTAGAACCTGATGATTGGCTTGATGAATCTTGACGATGATTGTTGCTCCTGAAAACTCCACAATCTTCCATTGGTCTATGGCACTATGGTTTAAGCCATCATTCCTTTGTGTTCAAATCAAGTTTCAAATCACATCACTCACAAGAGTGATGCTCTTTGTTGAAGGGACCTGCCGGGACCTGCCTCTGACGTTCTCAACTTGCGACGTAGCGACCCACAAAGCTCAAGGTTCGGGACCCTTCGACGGACCTGTCATTGTTCCTGTCGTGTCGGAGTTGGCGAGGTTGTTCGTTGCCCCCGGTCGCTGGAAGATCATGCTGCAAATTCTGAGGAAAGCCTAAAAGGCTTTATTTTCATGGCGCAACACACCTGAACAGCCGCAAATACCTGATTCTGATTCTGATATATTCTGATTCAATGAACTTTGTAGACAAAAAATCGCCTCAAGAACTGGGCATGTGGAGTGGATGATTTGACCGTAGGAGGTGCCCTTCGTGAAGACTCCCGGCCCACCCTGCTGCTTGGATCTCCCACATGGGGACCCATCAAGAGCCAAGAGACTTGGAACCCAGCTTCTTCCCGTTGAGGTAGAAGCTGGTCTTGTTGGCATCTGCCCAGGTAGAAGCACACACAAAGTAGAGAACAAGTGAAACCGCAAGCACTGAATTGAGGATTTGTCAGCTTGCTGTCTGTGACTTTCTGCAGGTGTACTATCCTATGATCTGAACAACTAGTTGATTCAGGGATCCTGTTTGCAAAGTCAGAACTTGAAGAAATTGGAAGTGGAACGAACACAGTTGCACAGTAGTGTAGAGTAAAATTACTTTACTTCGAGTGATCCCCACCATGACATTTCAAAACAGCCACGTTGACAATCACCCTCGTTGTGATTTTCAGCCCGTAGCACAAGTCCTTCAGCGCCAAGTCCTACTGTTTTGTCCCAAGCGAATGCTTTCATCAGGAGACCTGTGCCTGCCCAACAAATAATACAACTCAGATCATTTCAGCAGAAGTCGTACTGGGCGGCCCAAAACTGGGAAACTTCCGGGGCCCGAGCAGTAGTAGTAGTAGTAGTCGTCGTCGTCGTCGTCGTCGTTATGGTTGTGTTTGTGGTTGTGTGTTTGTTGTTGTGTTTGTGGTTGTGTGTTTGTGGTTGTGTGTTTGTGTTTATGTGTTTGTGGTTGTGTGTTTGTGGTTGTGTTTGTAGTTTGTCTGTTTGTGATTGTGATTTTGATTGTTGTTTGTGATTGTGTGTTTCTGGTTGTGTTCGTGATTGTGTGCTTGTGATTGTGTGTTTCTGGTTGTGTTTGTAGTTCTGTGTTTGTTGTTGTGTTTGTGGTTGTGTGTTTGTGGTTGTGTGTTTGAGGTTGTGTGTTTGTGGTTGTGTGTTTGTGGTTGTGTTTGTAGTTGTGTGTTTGTGATTGTGTTTGTGATTGTGCGTTTGTGCGAAGCTTTTCTGCTCGGGCAAAGTTGCGGTCTCATGTACAAGCTTCTTGATTTGTGCGTGTCATCTTAGATGATCACAACATGTATGCTCTGCCATGAGTGAGTGCTTACCATGTCGTTTGGCACTCCTCCTTTGGCTTGCTGAGGCTCGAATCTCAAGCCAACAAATCCTCTAGGGATAAAAATTGTGGACATGGTGCACGGATTCCTTCATCAAATCCTGCATTTCGTCCATCAAAGCTCTTGTGCCATTTCTATGGCCATGAAACCAATTCGCTTCCATCTTTAGAAGCTCTTCTCGGGCAATCAAGTCTGCACGATTGTATGCCCGATTGAAATGGACAAATTGTCCGTCCGGAATCCTAATGCTTTCCGGCTCCCATGCAGCATCTACAACCTCAGGCGCACTTTCGTGCTCACTTTCCATCTCGTGGTCTGGTACTTCATCTTCTCCAGGTGAAGGTTCTGGTTCCACCATCGATGTGTCACCAGTCTGATCTCTTGCTGTCTCACCACCTGCCGGCTCGACATACTCCACTGGGACCTGCACAATCCGGCCGCCATCCAAAATGATGACTGCCGTCTCTCCACTCAGCCCGGGTTCTCCAGGATCAACATCAATGTTGACAATGCCGGCACCAGGAAGCTGCTCTCCTCTTTCTTGCTGAATCGTTTCCATCTTCTTCCACCATTCTCTCAGCTCCAGGCCCTCGCGCCACGTGTTGATCTTCTGGATGTAGTTCAGGCTTTGCCATTCAACTCGCTGAACTGATGGGTCTTCTACATGCCCTCCAAGCTTGATTAGCCCTCGGTGCACTCGCTCCACGTAGTCTGCAGTCATGGAGTTCTCCTTGTCCATCTGCTGGATGTTGTCCTTGTGGGCTTGTTCACACCTTTCGACTCGGTGCTGTAGGAAGGCGACCCTCTTTTCCAGACTTTGAACCTTGCTCCATAGGAACATGATGGCAAACATCAGAAAGCCGAAGATGACCAGGCCAAGCCACCACTGGAAGGGGAACATGTAGTTGATCTCAATGTAGTTCTCCTCAACCCTGTTGCCCGCGGCCAGCTCAAGACCGCTCAGGAGAATAATCCTGTTGAGGTACTTTGCCATTCTCATGATCTTCCCTTTCTCGACGTGGCTCTTCTCAAAGTCCTGGTACTCTTGCTCACCGACGCGGCTTCCATCTCCATTCCTGGCGTTGCACCAGTAGAGCAATAGCCTGAGCCGTGCTTTCGAAAGTGGTTTCGTGCCGATGTCGGCCAGGTTCAGTGTGGTACTGATTTGTTTGACCTCCATCGTGCCTTCTGCAACTTTATTCTGGCACCAGAGGAGTTTGCCACTGATGTGGCGAAGTCGTCCAGCTCCACGCTTGTTGGCAATCTGTTTGGTGGCGGAGTTGTCGACCCAGCAAACATGATGTACTGGATCTCCTGTCAAAAACTCCAAGGCGTGCTTGATGCATATGCCATCACATGCGCCAGCCACCAATGCATGTAGCTCACTCTCTGCCGATGAGAGGCTGACAACTTTCTGGCCTCTGGAGGTGGTGTAGATCACCATGCCGTTCAACCCGTGAATCGAAGACGAAGTGCTCTTCCTTGTTCCTCTGTTGCCGCTCCAATCAGCATCCGTGAAGCTCTCAAGCAACCAAGTCTCATGGCTGTGACCATGTAGTCCTTCCCCTTGAACTGGAAGAGGTAGAAGGATATGTTGCTCTTCCGTCTCTTTGAGGTACCCAACCAACCTCCTTGCCTTCTGCATGGCCAACTCCGTAGGGTTTGACATCTTTCCTGCTAACTCCTTCACAACGAAGCTGATGTCCAGTCGTTCTTGTGAAAGGTAGATGCCCATGCCGACAATGGAACGATACACTGACGCGTGCTCTGGGGCAACAACATTGGATCCATCGGCGTCCTGGATGTCTGAAGTGGCAGGAAGCCTTTGTCTCCTCACAGGGCCATATTTGTCCTCGAAGGTCTTGATCATTTTCGTGGCATACTGCCCAGGCTTCACCAGCAAACCTTCTGGGACATAGATGTACTTGCGCTTCAGGAAGGCGAACTCATCGTTGTAGTTTCTTACCATGGACACTTCCACCTCAAACTTCTCCTTCAATTTGCACACAAAAGCGTCCACAGCTTTCTGCCTTCCAGTGAACATCACATCATCGACATGTACTAGCACACAGATCAGTTCACTGTCCGTGCCCTTCTTTCCAAGGCATGGGTTCACCACATCAAAGGCGAAGTTGAGCTCCTCCTCAAGGTAAGTTCTCAAGAACTCATACCATGCCTTTGCTCCAATCCTCTGACCTGGAATGTTCTTGAGGACCTTGTAGTAGCCAGTATTGGTCGTGATCTGAAGAGGTCGTTCTTGGGGAACCTGCAGGAATGCATCCTTTATGTCAAGTGCACCCAACACTGGAGGTCCTTGCTCTCCATCAATGCCCTGACTCACCACAATGTTGTTCAGGAACAATGCAGGCAGAAGTCGAAGAGAGTGTTGTCCCGAAGCTGGGCTATAGACTTCATCGCATCGATCATTTGCATATTCTCTGGCTACCAGCCTCGCTCTCCTCAACCAGCGCTTCCTTGACTTCCCATCAGGTTGTGGATAGGGCTTAATCCTCCAATCATGGACAAAGCGAGTAGTGAGCTTGTCCAAATGAGCGTCCTCTGGTTTGAGCTTCTCCATGACATCCATCCTCATCAATCTCTGCTCCTCCACCTTGTTCGCCAAGAGGTCTACCTCCCAACTTGGATCAGGAGGTGTTTTCGTCAAGGGAGCATCACTCCAGAGCTCTTCAGGGATGGCGCCAGGTTTCAAGTCCTCAACGTCCTCTTCTCCTTCTTCAATGGCCATCGTCTCAACATCCACCACTTCGTCCAGGTGGTACATGGTGTCTCCTCCAACACACACCTTCTCCACTCTGCGCTCCACGAGTTGTTGATGTCCAGATGAGCTTGCTCCTCCTTCTGGTGGCTTCTCTGTTCTCGCCCGTTTGGCCTCTGGCTCGGCCCTGACTGCAGATTCTGGAGGAGGGAGTTTCTTCAGAACTCGTCCTTCAGGAGGTAGTGCGTCCTCATCCCAAGGAAGCGGTTCAATGACCATTGGAATTTCTCCTCCTGCGCCCCTCTCCCCAGGTTGATCTCCAAGAGCTGGGGGTGTCAGCAATCCTCCACTGGGCTCTCCTCTCTGTGGGGCTGATGGTGCTGGTTCTCCAGCCTCTGCAATCATTGCTGGTGCATCAGGCTCACGGGCCTCATCTATCTCTCTTTGGCTTTCCTCCTGGCCCTCTTTGGACAATGCATAGCGCTCTACCTCCTCAGCTTCTTCATCTCGATACCTAAACAGGATTTCATCTCGAGGAGGTGCTGGACCAAGTTGCAGTGGAACCGCACTTGCTGCTCGCTTGCTAGGAACAATGCGCCCACCAAAGTTAATCTGATACTCATAGGTGAAGGTGGCAATGTTCTGGTAATAGGCGCCGAAGTTCTTCCATGGACGGTCCACTCTTCTCACAGACCTGGTCAGCATGACTTGGCTGCCGTCTCCCACGATCCAGGAATCTTGACCCTCAGTCTTTCCAAGAAATAGGGTCATCCGCCATCGAGGGTTGCCCTTACCTGACTGGGGCTTCACAAAAGCATACACTGGGCATCCAAAAGGAACCAAAGCTCCATTGTAGGTCTTGCCGTGGACCAGTTCGTGACTTGTGATGCCCTTCGTTGCTTGAAACTTGTTCAACAGCCAGCATGCGTGACGCGCCGCCCAACTCCACAATCCATGGTTGGTATTGAAAACCTGACCAGTCTTTGCCATGACCTCACCCATCAATGTGCATGCAAGGCCTCGTACTCGTTGAATGGCGTTCTCAGCAAGGGAGTTGCCTGCAGAATCTTTCACCTTTGTGGTGTACAAACGAGTTCGAAGTCCCATAGCATGCCTGCTATTCAAAAGAATCCGGAGGAGGGAGCGAATTGTCGGCTCATTGTCCCCATATAGTCCAATCTCAACATGGCCTAAACTCTGGACAAAGTTCATGATCTCTCTGGCCATGAGGTTCAATTGTCCTTTCGATTGGAGGGGAACAGCTCCCAAGCTTCCTGTTTGGCTGCAAACCATGATCAGCCAGAAAGATGACTTTAGCTCTCTGATCCTGGGCTCTCTAGCCTCTGGTTGCTCCTCCTGGTCATAGAGGTCGATCGCCATTCCATCATCATCAGGATCATGGCCTGGATCTCGAACGGTGGGTGCCCTGTCCACTTCGCCAGCTTTGGTGTAGGCAAAGTCCAAAGAGATGATTGGGATACCACCAGTGTGAGAAGATCCTGTCCTCAGGTGTCTGTCTGGCCTTCCTCGGTACTTCAAGCAGACTTCGCACCACGGCTGATATGGCACGTGTGTGAGTGCATGAAGGTCCTGTACCTGCTGCGAAGGGACCGGATGATATTCTGCATCTTTGGTTGTCTTGCCATCTGCAACTCTGCGGCTGCAACTGCTTCTGATGCCGCCTTCAGCTCACATTCTTTGAGATGGCTCACAATTCTCTGAAAGCATTTCAGCCGACTGCCTGACTGGCTGATGCCATAAAAGTGACAGGCTGCTCGGAGTTCTCTGAGTTTGCTTGTCGCTGTCAACTGAATGTCATTCACTATCACATGGTCCGGCAAGCCAGCTTCTAGCACCAAACGGCCTTCTTGCTCATCTGCTGCTGCTCCATCACCAGCAGCTGCCACCTCAACAGCTGTTCGATCATCAACTGCTTCTGCACCATCATCTTCTGTCTCCTGAAGCCTCTGGGGCTCTTCCATCGGGATCTCGTGCTCCCTCAATGCCATGGCACCTGGCTCAACTCTTGGCCTCAAATCAAGACCAGTCTCTACTTCGAATCCCATCTCCTCAGTGCTCACCTCCTCAGGAGTGAGGATGGTCACGATCAAGGTGTTGTCCTCGACATTCTCAATCTCCTCCTCCTGATCTGCAAGTCCATGGAGGTTCTCGCACATCTCATAGAGTTGCCACTGACCTTTCACTCTCACCAGCGTGGTTCGCCTCCAATCTGTCGTCGAAGGAATCTCGCCCACGAACTGTGGTGTCTGGAACTTCTTGGCCAGATGTACTCCAACCCATCGGTTGTCCACTTGCTTCCATCCAACTTGGTATCTCGCCTTCATCTGGAGGTCGTCCAAGAGCTTGGCCTCCAGCACTCTCACCATCATAGGACCTGCAGGCTTCTCAACCACTGTGCGTAGATGTCCAGTGGCCACCAAACTACGGTTTTGCAGCTGAAGTGGAATCCTCACAACATTGTGCCCTAGACCAAACGTCATGGAATGTTGGCCTCCACTCATCTGCCCCGCTTCTATGTTCCAGCCTGCCTCCATCAACTTGCCATATGAAATGATGGGTTGGCTAATTTCATCTGAGAAGTGGGCCTTGTCGAAGATCTGCACTTCCTTGTCGTTGTCTGCCTTGAAAATGAAGCAGACCTGCTTGTAGCCGCGCACCTCAATTGGTACTCCTTGAGCATCTTGGAGCTTGGGTGCGCCCTCATCCAACTCGGTGCCAATATCCAAGTAGGAGCTTGGAAGGATGGTTGCATCAGCTCCTGAATCGATGATCACCTTCACGTGATCCTCTTCTCGCATGCAATTCTGATGCCCTCGCACAGCCATGATGTGGTAGATCTCCTGAACGTGGTCGTCATTGGGCTCGTGCTCTTCAGAGATGGAGAAAAACTGTACCATTCTGATCTGTCTACCAGCTGTGCTCGGCATCGACATTGGCCTCAAGTCAAAAACCATGGGCTCATTCTCAAATTCAACTTGTGAAACTCCTTCAACTCTTTTCACTGACCCAGACTTCCAGCTTGCACCTTGGCTCGAAGTGGTAGTGCTCGAAGCCACCGTCCCAGTTTCTGCGCTCGGCTTAGCATTGGGAGACTCTTCACTCACCTGTCGAAGCCTCTGCCAGCAATCCTTCGAGAAGTGTCCTGCTTTGCCACAGGTGAAGCAAGTCTTTTGGTCTGACTTGCCTTTTTGACCTTTCTGGCCTTCTCCCTTGCCAGCGCTCTTCTGCTGGGATTTGCCACCGAAGTCCTGGGATTTTCCATAGCCTTTGCCCTTGCTCTTGCCTTTCTGCTCGCCCTTGCCTTTGCCCTTCCTGTCGAAGTCCTTGCCCTTGCCTTTGCCTTTGCTGTAGTCGTTGCCCTTTCCTTTGATGCGGTCAATCTCCATCGGCACCACACCTTCTCCGCCTCCAGGATCAGCTCCGAGCATCATCACATTCGTCCACTTCATCGTCGCGTTGTCATACTGCACGATGGCCTCTCGGAGCTTCTGGTAATCCTGGGACTCGGCAACGTTCAGCTGGAGCCACATTTTGAGCTGTCCGCTGATGCACTTCATCAGGACTGCAAAGCGGATGTTGTCTTCCAGCTTTGAACCCGTTTTCTCATACTCCACAAAGGCCTCTTCCAAGCGTAGGAGTTGTCCAAGAATGCCTCCTTTCCTCATGTCGAAGGGCTTCCACTCCAAGATCATGGTCAGCAGACCTAATGCACGATTCTTGGAGGTGGGCTCGAGGCTTTGGATCAAGAGGCGGTAGGCCTCCATGCCATTGGACTCCTTCACCTGGCGGATCATGGCGAGAGGGCGTTGCTTCACAAGGGATGCTAGCAGTGAATACAAAAATTTGCTTCGTTGTTTCTCCTCATCAGACTGGATGCTGGAGTCGATCGGGTCATCTGGCCTTGCCCTGATATCTTTGAAATCTTCTGTGAACATGCCGTTCAGGGAGGACAAATATTGTTCAAGGCCCCAACTGAAATCCCTCCATTGAGATAGTTCCTCCTCCCTGGTCTTTGCGTCCAGCTGTGAGGGTTTTGGCAAAACCTTAAACCAAGCTTCCTCTCCACCTTGCCGTCGACTGAGGGCCTCCGCGGCCGATTGCGCAGCCAGAGCAGCCGCTTCAGCGGCTTGGATCATCCTCATGGCGATCTCTCGCCCTTCTCCACCTCCTGCTGCAGAGGAAGGTGAAGCTCCAGCTTCTCCAACTCCAGCCATGGCCACCAATCTCAACTTCAGGGACTTTCTTCAACCTTAGGATGTAGTCCACTGCAGGGCAAAGGGCCTATGGCGCCAAATGAAAAAAACAAGAGCCTCCACCAATCCCTACGGGATTGGCTTCTCAGGCTCCGCTACCATGCGAAGCTTTTCTGCTCGGGCAAAGTTGCGGTCTCATGTACAAGCTTCTTGATTTGTGCGTGTCATCTTAGATGATCACAACATGTATGCTCTGCCATGAGTGAGTGCTTACCATGTCGTTTGGCAGTTTGTGATTGTGTGTTTCTGGTTGTGCTTGTGGTTGTGTGTTTGCGGTTATGCGTTTGTGGGTGTGTGTTTATGATTGTGTTTGTAGTTGTGTGTTTGTGATTGCGTTTGTGATTGTGTGTTTCTGGTTGCGTTTGTGGCTGCGCGTTTGAGGTTATGTGTTTGTGGTTGTGTGCTGTGGTTGAGGTCCGGCAGGTTGAGGTCCGGCAGGGAACACTGGGCGTGGATGGTCGTGGTTGAGGTCCGGCGGAGGAGGCGGAGGAGGAGGAGAAGAAGGAGGAGATGGGGCTGACATAAAATCTAACAACCCTCACCTGACAGGAGGGGAATTAACATGTTCATACATGTTTGGATTTCTTTGGATATATCTGGGAAAACGACTTTCCACTTTCCTGTTCTTCAGTCTAATGACTCACGTTCAGATTGTATTCTGTAGTATGACAGTGAACCATGTCCCAAGATTTGGTAGGAGTAACTTATAAGGTTGTGAACATGTGGTCAAAAGAACAGAAACTTTGAACAAAGGAGATTCGATCCCAACATTGTCCTCGAAACCCGTGTCAAGATATAGATCCAAGTAGATATAACCAGCACCACCCAGTTTGGCGGGGTTATGGATGATTAACATTACATGGTCAGGGGGGGTCTACAAACCACCCTCACTCGAGTCCGCTCTTGAAGTGATCGCGTGTCCCGCATCGAAAAGGCTCCTGGGTCCTGGTGATAAAACTGCAGGACATTTGTTCAGTGCCATCAGGTGCCCCCTTTTGCTTGGAGACCTGATCAACCCCGTGATCCGTGATCCAAAACGGATCTCCCTCTGGTCGCTACACTCAGAACGATCCAATTCACCGAAAAAAGGCGCCTTCGCCCGCGAGGCCGAAGGTGTGGATCCCATGGCCTCAGGTGGCGGTGGAAGTGGAGAAACAAATAATCCGAGGTTCCTAACAAACCAAAAAGCGACATTGTTGTTCACTTTGGGATCCATAAAGAAAGCCCATGTTGTACGTATACTTACGTAGTTACATGGTACTGTAGTACTTCTATGGAAGAATAACATGCTGGTCACTCAAGTTGTAAAAAAACAAAAAATCAAGGACGTGACATGAGTTCAACATGCACATGCCCAAACCTTAGACTTGTTCCCTAGTTGGAGCCACACCCACATCACCATTTTTGCTGGAAGCATCTGAGTTTTTCAAGCAAGGCAGCTGGTCTGATGTTCTTGCTCATACAAATAGTGCCAAGCAAACCATGGTTCTTCTTGTCATAGCTATGAATGATAGCATCATTATAGGATATGATAGGCCAGGATATGCTAGGATCTATTTCAACATTATTCAACAACACGAGTGGATACCTATCTGGTGATCAACAGATCGACATGGACAATGAACCTCCTCAAAGTTGATTCCAATTGTCCCTCCACCAAGGGCATCATTGCTCATGTCTACATGCTGGTCCCCTCCCCGATCGAGGTCGCGGCTGACGATGACCAAATGGTGCCATCCCTCCGCCAGCGAGGAGATGTTAAAACCACGCAGGAAATTCCCTTAGGATGCAGGTTACGCATCGAATGAGCGCGATCGTTCTATGGATGCTGAACGCCCCGAGTCCCATTGAGGGAAAATGCGGTCTGGTCTATTCCAAGGGAGATTTCAGGGTGCCCTTTCAGGGATTCCAACTCAGAGGTGCTGCCACCAAATTATGTGCATGGAGTTGTCCAACTAACGCATAATCATCACACTCACATGGGAGAAGTCAATGCTTGTATCCCAACAGACATTCAGCAACTTAGCCCAAGTGGTGTGTTCTTCTGTTTCAACCCCATCACCAGGACAAGTGCCACGACTTGCGCATGTTAAGTTTAGTGTGATTCGGTTCCCATACACGTCCAATCAACAATCATGTGCATTTGCTTGCATCAGTGAACTTGCCATGCCTCATGTTCTCTTCTGAAGCACAAGTTCTGCTGCACTTCTGAATCTTGGTCAAACACTCAACAAAGGAGCATTCAATTCAATCCTTCATGAATCCCCCTAGTTGGCCGCGGCTCCTCCATTCCAATTCACCAGCCGCCCACGTGAGATGGCCACCACCACGAAGTCCATAGCATTCTTCCCATCAAGCAAATGCCGTTTGTGGGGCGAAGCCTCCAAAGGCGCCCAGATCCTCGGCGGGACCCCGCATGGCAGCCCAGCTGGCGGCAAGGCGCCCCGTGATGGAAATCCAGAAAAGCCAACCTCAAAACCATTGTGTGACAGCCCAAGGTTTGCCCCGTTCTGTGGAACAGAAGCACAAGCTGCGCTCCAATTGACCATGCTTGTAAGGACAAGACTTTGGAAGCAGCAAAGGAAATCCCTTTTGGTCTGAATCTAGGCCATGGCATGAGCAATGAACAAATCTCTGGTTCTGGGAAACTCTTGGGAACTGCAACGACCCCGTGAAACTACTCTACCAGGGCACCGACCGTGGATGTTGCGCAATCCTCATATGGATTGTTCTTTTAGTTGATCTCTCAAAGAGCAATGGAATGTTGAACCAACCAAGCATGTAGTTTCCTCACATCCATACCCCCCTCGTATCCAAACCCTGGATCAGGCAGCCCTTGATTGGCGCGATGCCAAACTGTTGTGGCCTTCCAGAAAAGAGCACAGAAACCCTATTGATTCGCTACCAGTACAACCTGTTCCGCAAGTGCGCAAGTCCAAACATGCTCTGAGCAGCCTTAGGCGGATGCCCTACAAGTACCAAGCAAGATGAACGTATCATATCTCATGTTTGCTACGCACCACCCCAGTGAAACCTGCAGCCAGAGATTCCATGTAGAGATGGTCCAGCCCTTATCTTGCAGCTTCACCGGCTCAGGCAGTATCAGACACCCCGTCTCCTCAGCTGGAACCACCATGCAGTTCGCTCAAGGCATCCCCGGCTTGAAAACCAGCGTCACAAAAGGGGTGGCCTCCGCTGGACTGATCCGGAAACGAGAGTTTGTTCGGTATTTGCTTCGAAAAGCACAATCTGTGGTCCGAAAGCGCAATGGCACTTCCACACTTCTAGTTTTGAGGAGTCCCGGACACCAGGATAGCCGGCACTGCCAGGGCTGCGAGAGGCCCAGCTGCTGAAACATGCTGAAACAGACCCGAGGCCCATAGCCTCTAATTATACACTGACATACACACACAGGCCAGTCGACCAAAAGCAGGACTTTCAGCTGTCCTTCTTTCAGCCCTCGCTCTTCCAAACTTGAGAAACATATGTCCTCTACAGCAAAGCATCTGTATACATACATACACACACGGACTCCGGTCCGTGGTCTCCACACTCTCAAAGCTCTCTACGGAGTCCGTACTGCCCGAACAATCACGAAACCCGAAAATTTGTTGGAGAAACAACCGATCCACCACCAAACTCTTCTAGAGCCCCCCTCAAAGCCTCCGGGCATCCACGTGTATCAAACGTGGCAGCCACCGGAGGTCAAGGTTTGACACAGGAAGCGTTGATCGAGGTTCTGAGATGCCAGCACCAGAATATCACACAGCAACAACAACAACAAATCAGTGGTCGGGCAACACAGATTGCAGAGCTGACGAGGTTAGTGTCAGGTCTAGTGCAGATGCAGACAGATATACTATTAGATCAGGCACAGAGAGAAGCGGATGAACGCAAGAGTCGCAAGAGATGAGCACTGTTGGCCGTGAAGGGTTGGACTTTTACAGTTTCTCCGGGAGCTGTTGGAAACGGTTCAAAACCGGTTCTAACGTTATCCCATTCCGGTCATGTTCCAAATGACAGTGTTCGTAGAACTGAACATACTTAGATATCTTTCTTTGGTGCAACGTTCCTTGGAGCAGTTGGGTGCATCCTGGCTAGGAGGATGTCGAGATGCATTCAATCCGGTCGTTCGAGCAGCGTGCGTCGGCTTTTGCAACTCAGGTTTCCAGTCTTGAGCAGCGTTCAGTTGGTCAGTCACATGCAGTCAAGCAGAGTTCGTTCGTTCACTCACCTCAGGTTCAAGTTGACCGCAGCTTTGACGCCTCGAACGCGAGTCGACAACTTAGGCAGCCTTCTTCGACGCCAAGTGGTGGTCGGGTGCATCATGCCTTCGTTGCCGTATCTAAGCAACCTCGGAGTGGAAGCGGTGGAACAGCCGCAGGGGGAAGAGAACCAGCATGCACACCAGAGGGGTACGCTGATCGCTACTGTTGCGCCGTCGAAGAGACCGAACCAGAGGCACCGGGCGCAGCGATCGAGGGGTTCACGAGCAGAACGAGCCAGAGCTGCCAGGGATACCGAGGTACAGAAGTACTACCGACTCCAGAGGTCCGAGAGACGTAAACCGAGGTCCAAGAGACTGGAGTGACCGGTCAAGAGGGAGAAGCGGAAGTACACAAAGAGGTCAAGGAGGAATCCAAAGAGGATTCGAAAGAAGCCCAGTTTACCGTGAGGATGGTGCAGGGGAATGATGGCTTCATGAACCAGAGAGAAGAGAACACGAGCGAGTTCAGAACAGGAAACGCCGTTGATCATCTCTTGCGGCATCACTTTGCTGCCAGGATGCGGTAATGTTGACACCAATCCTTCCATTCTTCTCCACCGCCTGGCGGCACATCTGTCAGTTTTTTTTCATGAAACACAAGGTGAATCTTCTGATATGTTCGTCATTTGTCACGGCTCGACAGTATCACTCCAAATCAAAATAATATGTGCACCTCATAGCTGTTGCTCACTTATTGATTGAATGTATATAATTATAACTATATACCATTATCAACTCTAGCTGCCTTCACCGCACAGACTAGCTTACTTCGACAAGACATCGCGTCTCCAAAAGAGCATCTGCCCAGCCAAGAATTCAAAGCGAAACAATAAGCTGTGCAGCAGCTGCACCTTTTTGAGGCTTGGGACAAAACAGAAAAACTACTTGTGGCATGCCTCAAATCAAGTCCTCCGATCTTGGCCACCACTTGCTTTTCCCATTACAGAGCACGAGTCTTGTGGGCCAGCCAGGTATGGTGAGGACTTCGCTGGGAGAAGCAAAATGTAACTTCATACACCAGTAGCAATAGGACCCTATCGGAAGTACATAGTCCGTAGCCCGTTGTTCCTTGTCATCAATGAAACCAGGTCTGCCTTACCCAAATCTAGAACAACGTGTCCATAGATCTAGAATGATCCATATAGTATATATATATATGTATGTATGTATGTATGTATATAATTTAGATAGATTTAGATCAAACAATATACATGGTCCATTGGTGTTATCTTGTATACAATTATATATATAGAGAAATATGATCAAATACAATAAGTAGTACAATAAGTGTTTCCCGTCTCACGACTCGTGGCCTTGACATGCTGGTCGTTGAGGATGGTGCAGGGATGGCCACTGACCGCTTCCTGGGAGGGTCGACGAAGAGACGGTGAAGGCCGTGAAGGCTGAAGATGGTCAAGGCCGTGACTTCTTTTGAGACGGAGAAGAGACCTCTCCATGTTTGTTCTCGATCTTTCAACCGGTTTTTGGAACAGGTCATTTGTTGCAGTGAGATGGTGTGCCTAAGAGTGCCATAGATCCGCAATTCCATGAGCACATAGAGCCAGTCACTATTCCAGATGATGATAAAATTCCAGCCGATAGTGGCAAAGTAGTGCCCTATTGGGACAACTGTGATACATGGGAAGAAGCTGGGAATAGGATTGACCGAATTCTTGGAGACCAGGCAAACCACGCCATACTAAACGGTTGCGGTGAAAGAAGAAATTCTGATGTCACCAGCTGATCAGCTGATTTGAGTGATGTAAAGAGATTCTGATGAGATCCATGAAAGTACGTCAGCCGAGGTCAGCAGATGAAAATGCCAAACGGATGATCTTCCGAAGACGAGAAGCTATGACCTCCTCGTGTCGACTTACTCACGGTCTTTGTGTACATGATAACATCCATCAAACACTCACTCAGGCAACAGGTTCGATGCCGAGAGTGCCAAGACTCGTGTACAAATGAGGCTCCGGCACAAACACTGAGGCTCCAGATTCTCTACTCTTCCCTCTCTCTCTCTCTCTCTTTCTTTTGCATCCCATTCACATCCTTTTTACTGTTGGGTTTTGGGGTGTATCGAGCCGATTCGAGCCGTGGGAATCAAAAAACACCGCCCAAGTTCTGTGGCCCAGTGTCATGTGGCAAGTTCTGGGGATCAAAGGACAGTTGGAGCAGCTGCTGATCACGAAGCACATCGACCTGATGGCGTTCTGCACATCGACCGCTCCGGTCTCCAAATGGAGGGGGTCCAGGAAGCTCGTTCTGAGTCCAGGGGCAGTTTCTGGTCATTCCATCCCAGCTGAAATGATCGGTTTAAGCCACGGGAGATTCTTCCTCATGTCCAACACAATGAACATCGAACAAAATTATAGAACTCAACAAGCGCCCTTGAAGCTCGATTCGCCGCTGAGCAGCTTAAGGGTGACACAAAGGATTTTGTCTCCGAGCTCACGAACTGGTTCTGGACGCAGCAAGAAGGAATATACATACTCATGCATATATAGTAGAACCTCTGAGAGATTACAGTGGCAGCAAGAAGAAAACACTAATATACTGTGGCTCCCGCATGCTCCCGCACTCATCCATTCGGTCACCAAGGAGCCAAAATGAGGCTAAACTCTTGATCAAGGTCAAACTCCATGAGCTTCTTGGAATCCTCCATCACATGTCCATCTGAGGTACCTGAGTGGAGCTCCAACAGGTAGACCCACAGGTGGTTGTCTGGTCCTTCTTCGAGTCAGTGACTGGAGACTGGAGACTGGTAGGCACTCACTACGGATGTAAACTGGAAAAAACAAGATCCGCCGTGGAGAGGTTCACCTCCCCTGATAAGTTTACGAATCTAACATTATAGGATATTATAGGTCATCACCCACCTAGCATTTCCCATATTTTTAATATAGTGCTGCATTTTCCATTCAGTCTGCTGGATTCTGTGTCTGACGAGGGGCAAAGCTTGACCTCACAGGTCTTGCAATAGAGTTGTCGCAATCTCCGTTTCACCTCCTGCACCGTTTCCGCCGCCGGATGCACGCTCAGGGGATACTCCTGACCCGCCGGCATGCGATCGTGCTCGCGCCGTGGAGTACGTCTGGCCGCGTCTGGATGATGGGCGCTGAGGAAAAGCGATTCAATGATGGGACGCGGATTTTATAGTAGGTGTGATCCCCAAGTACATTTTTAGTGGGGATTTTCTATCTATCTTAGATCCCCCTTGGAATTACCAGTAGGTCTGGGGAGCGTGATTTTATACACATAAATCGCCTGCCCCAACATCCAGCAAGCAATCTCTCCACTATAAAATGAAGACTCGACATGAAACAGTAAATCTCTATAAAATCAAGTCTCAACATCTAAGGCGCCCGAAATCAGAAATAAGACGTATAAAATGATCTAGGTGTGAGGTAGATTTACCTTTATTTTGCCCAGGTCGGAATTGATTTTATAGTGAGTTGTTTGGGTTCAACTGGGCTGAGACTTGAATTTATAGGGATTTGGTTTGCAAAATCTGACAGCATCAGCGATGAGCAGGTTTTTTTCCCCTGTGCGTTCGTCTGATTGTTCTGATGTCCAAAGCAATCCGCTTGATTGCTAATTTTGATTGAATATAATGAAACCTTCTCGGATTTGTTGAAAGCATCTTTTCGATCATTGAAAGCATCTTGCGGGCAGGCCGGGCGTATAAAATCAAAAAACCAACATATTATGCATGCAACTGACTTCCAACATCTGCCACAATAAAATGAAGTCTCAGCTTTCTTGTCCACAACTCTCTTCATATAAGATCAAGAACCAACTTCTAAGAAGCTGTAAGGCTTGGTCTGCTATAAAATCGGGCTCATACCACCTCACTCCTATAAAATCAAATGTCAAAACAGCCAGACCTCTATCTGTATGGCGGCCCACATAATTCTGGCCACAAGCTACCACGTTGACACATCATTTTATAGCAAGCCTCCCTATAAAATGACAGGGGGTTTTTGTACTCGAGTACGGCCATTTTATAGGGGATATTCCATGGGGGATTATCTTAGTATATAAAGGTGTGTCTAGCAATCAGGAAGCCTCTGCCAGAAAAACCTTGGTGCTCTTCTAGTTCAAAGCTTTGTAGAATCGTAGTCGGTGACACCTTTGGAAGCAACTGGAATTAGCAACTCCACGTTTTGTCGACACCAACCTGGAAATTCCTTCTGTGGCTTTACCCCATCGGATGCAGCAAAAACCGTTCATCACTTCACACCCAACACTCCGCGACCTCGTCTTGCTCTGATTCTTCGTTGGGCGCCCAGAACACCCTGCTCCCAGCTCACGCCCTCTCCTTGCCGTTGAGGCCCTTGGGGCAGAAGTTCGCAAACATCATGGAGTATTTCCGGTTGCCTTGCAGCACACGACTGAACCCCGCCTCAAGCTTCGTCCGGGCAATGTCTCGGGGATGTATTTGTATTTATTTGTAAGGTAGTGGCACATTGGGCAGGGTATCAGGATTGCATGGGATAGCTGACATATACCAGCTTGTTAGTGACACCCAGCCCAAGGGTAAATCCACTGTTAATTGCTAGATCTCTGAGATATTTGCACTGGAAGTCTGAGATAGAAGGAACAGCGGACCGACCACCAGGTACACCCAGCTCTTGTATTTAAGTTTGTCAGGCTGCAAATGAAGATTGATGCGTTTCTCAATGCCGCACGCCATGGAGGTACATCTCAAAATCCACCGTTTCAATGTATTGGCTGTAGTACAACTAAGTGTGGCAGGTCGGCCATATTTGTTGGATACTTGAAGCGTCCGATCGCTCCGTTTGTAGGAATGCCCGAAATGCTCCGTTCGTAGCGCTCTTGCTCCGTTCGTAGTAGGGCGAGGAGCCCCGAACGTCGCGTCCGATCGCTCCTATTTAAAGGTTCATAGAGGGCTTTGAATGGCAGTTTCGTGACTGTCAGCCTTGGACCGGTTGTTGGACCGTGTCCGCATTCGCAGGAGCTATGAGCTTTAGGCGGGGAAGGGGTGTCCTCTTTTTCGGTCCATTTCCTCAGCTAAAGCGACCAGCAAATACGTTCTTTCTGCTTTTTCAAAAATGAGGACAGCATAGCCCGAAAATGCTAGATATGCGTATGGGGTTTCTGGGCCCTTCATTCAACTGGCGGTTTTGAGGAAGAAGAAGACGACGAACAAGAAGAATAAAAAAAGGAGAAGAAGAAGACAACGACGACGACGACGAACAAGAAGAAGAAGAAGAAGAAGACGAAGACAGAAGACAGAAGGTGGCCTCATCATGTAGATCATGTTCTGAATACAAGATACAAGTGGAAGGGGCTGCATTACCCGCTCGCCGTCGCCCCGCTCCCGGGGGCGAAGAGGGCTTCACCAGATCCAGCGCCCCTGGTGGTCACCGTCCCTTGCATCTGCGGGGCAATGTGTTTGTAGCGCTTGGATGCCTGGGACCCGACCGAAGCGGTTCCTGCGTCCAACGGGAACCGCCCGGAACCGATGAGTGTCGGACCTTGAGACAGTTCATGACCCTGCAAGGGACTCTGCAGTTGGTTGAGAAAAACACAAAACCTGCCAAAACGAAGGGATGAACCAAAGAAAACAATGGTCTTTTGCGCTAAAGAGTGACTTGCTCCACCTCAAAGGGAGACGAAAAGAAGAGAAAAAAAGCCTCGTTCTACGCCCGCCGATCAGGATCGCCACCTCCCAGCAGCTCAAAGACCAGGCTCACCGTTATGGGTGCCAAAATGTTCATTAGAGGAATTCGGAAAACCTTCTTTATTCAAGCAGACCTTCGGCCAAGCGAGCGCTTCGCCTGGGGCGTTGTTGCGATGGCCGGCAAGGAGAACGCCACCGTACGAACGCTGACGCCGGCGCCTCCGTTCCTCCACCCAGGTCCACCGGGTCCACCAGTCCAAGGCGCTGCTCAAAAGCTCGGAGATGCTGGCGACTGCGGCGGCGCTGTAAGGGGTCTCCTGACACTCCGCCTGCGGCAGCAGGCTCCCCCGATATCTGAGAGTGCGTGTGGTTGTCTTGCTGGTTGGCGTGTTGTTGTTTGTAATCCACTCGTTGAATAACATGTTTATATTGTAGCAATTATCACCTATTGTTCTCAAATGGTATATTATATATATACGATATATACATATAATATGCATGATGAAGTATCTGCCACTCGCTCGAGTCTTTGCGACAAAATGTATGCATATATAGCATGGCTACAAACCGCATAATGTCACTTTGGAGGATAGCAAGGACGCATGAATCCTTTGGGCTATGCCCGTCGATAAGGAAGGTCAAGAGCAGGGAAACCCACTCAAATACAGTAAATAATCGTACTGATTAGTGTTGGATTGGAATCCTAGTAGGGGGACAACCCGACAACCCAATGCAAACCCAACATAATGTCCTGGGCAATTGAACGACCCTCGTCGTGGGAGGTGATGCTAGCGACAGTGATTTGTTCCTCGGGTTGATCGCCCTAAACTTAACATGGTACCACCATGTACCACCAATTGGCCCACCTGCCGAAGGTATCTGGCAATCTCGTGTTGCAAGCGAGCCCGATCATTGCAGGACTCCTGACACGAAGCAAACGCTGATCGATTCTGCTTCCAGAACATCAGCATGGATGTATGAATGCAGGGAATATACAGTAGTAACAGCAACAGTCTCATTTAGTTTATCTATGTTCTCAAAGAAGTATGATATCCTGCAAGTGTATCAGGAGGAATCCGTATAAAGGTCTGCTTGACATTCGGCCTGGCTGTTTAACTAAGGTCTGCTCAACATTGCTCAAAGTTCGCCCTGTCTATATTTTATAATCATGACTAAAGTAAACTTGAAAAACATCACATCCTCCCAAACACGTGGCGTTTCAGCACCTCTTCGCGGACCTCAACTCGTCCACCTCAAAACAAGCGACCGGACGGTGGGGATGGATGGACTGGATGGTTGGTACTTCTAAAGAACAGAGCACGTGCTTGACATGGAGGCGGTTCTGAAGACGAGTTCTCTGTAATTATTGTGATTTCCATCTACGCATTTTTGGGGAGAGCCTTTAACTATCGAAAACATGAACGCGGGTTGGAGGCCACATGCTTCTCTCTCTCTCTCTCTCTCTCTGTCTCTCTTTCTGAGGGCTTCATGGCTCTCAAGATCTCAGCTTTCACTGGGCATTGCTGGGCTCTGAAGGATTCGACTGTTTCCATCAAAGCGTCCAGTCTCGCAGCGTCCAGTCTCGCGGTTTTTTTTTGGGTTGTCGAGTGGGACGCCTGGCCTGTAACAAATTACAAACAGTATCAAACACAGACTCGCTGTGCTGGGTAGACTTCATAATATGGATGTTTGCTGATGACAGTCCTCAAAGGCCTACGTATGCCTACGGGACTGTGGAGCAAACTCACCAGCTCAAAGTGATAGGCATTCACCTGCTACATGTCAGAACTGCTTTGCACATATTGACTTCGAACAAAGAGGGAGGGAAGAAAGAGAATTCTCTAATCCAACCAGCCCTAGGCTATATCAATCCACCACTGGCCAAACCATGACACCTATCCGAAAGTTGAGTTTGGTGCATGAAAGCCTCTTTCTTGATGTTTTTGGTGGCTAAAACATGATTTAAACCCAACAGGTTCATCCAAACGAAAGGCTCGGCTCCGCATCGTCCATCGATCGTGTCCATAGATCGCTGCCCTGAGGATCCAGCCATTCGCTTCGAGCTGTACTTGCCAGGCTTGCCTCTCCTGGGCAATTCGCGGCGAGATATCTGCCGCGGCGCCCAAAGGGGTTGGGAAAATGGATGCATGAGCCGCCATGGGCAAGAAGGTGATTAGAAGAGGACGATAGACCTGAGATTGGAGCAAGTGATGTCGAGGTTCGGCTTGGATCCACTGATGAAGTTTCTGCTTATATACCCCAATGATAGTGTTCCCTTCCAGGATACTTCAAATATTCTCACATCTCGTACACGTCTGTAACTACTGTATATGTGTTTCTTACGGGACCACTCACTGCTGCCTGTACTGGCCCCCAGCCCTCTAGAGTTTCCAGATATCGTTTCCGCCACCAAGCCTTGTTACTACTAGCTTCTTGTTACTACTAGTAAGGCACCTGTTACTACTAGCGTGGCACTTGTTACTACTAAGCCTTAATTCAAGATTGTGCCCCTCTTTCACATACTGCATAGACATCTTTGACCTCTTGGGAACTCCCGTCTTCCTCTCGGTCGAGATATGCGTTAGGAACCGCTGGTTCACCGAAGACTGCTGGTGGTCTGCGGCCAAGTCTCAGCTTGCATGGCTGAATCATGCGCTTTCCGAATCTCCTCGGTCTCTGCCTGAAGTGTGCTGAGCTGAGCTCTGCTCTCATTTCGATTGGTGGACAGTGGACACATCGTTCATATACAGTTTCATACAACTGAAACAGCCTCACAAACTCAAGCAGCAATTCCAAGTGTTGATTGTTGGTGTTTTTGTGCGCTACAGGGTTGGTCCTCTTCCTGGCTTCTTCATTGTCTTTCTTTGGGTAGCTGTGCCGTTCCTGTTCTGGCCCACCCCAAAGCCCCCAAAGCCGTAGCATGAGGTCTCTACACACTAACCCCCAAAATGTGAGAGTGCAAACGGCAAGCTTTTTAGGGGTACATGGATCACGTGTGCTGGTCGGTGTCAGTCGCCTGGAATGCCAGCTGTGTGGACTTCCAGTGAAACATGTCATGTGTTGTATACATACTTCGAACCACCGAAAGTCCGGATTTCGGGCTATATGACTATATGGGTATACTGTTACTATAGAGGGGGGCGACCTGAACCACCCATCCCTTCGCAAAAAGGACCTCTCAGGCGTATGCCGTTCATATTGACCATCCGACTCAAAATCACCCTGGGCTTCTCACTTTGAGCCGTTCATAGAACTCCTCTCTGGTCAAGAAGTCCTGCCCCACCGACACACCCACCGAGTCGTCCGATCGAAGCAGCAGCTCGGTGGCGTTCGATTCGATATGCGGCGATTCGGTGCTCGAAGCAGTTCAGCGGCCCAAGTGCAAAAGTGTCCAACTCTAAATCGGTGGTACAACCTCCAGAGATGTACACTATAGATCATTATATATAGCAATGCACAACAAAGGTACTTGGTATGCGCAGGGTGTTCGCAAACTCTATTGCACACAGGAAGACAAGGCATTTTGCCGTTCGACAAGGCAGCAACTGTCTGCATCTATATAGTGCTCTGAAGCTGCTATAGGTTTGCAACTGCATATGCACCACTAGGACAAAAGTATTTCTTGAAGGTTTCAAATTGACCCTTTCCCCGTTGAATCCTGCAAAACGCTACACCGCAACACCAAACTTCCCCCAACCGACAAGCGAACTTCCTGTCCCCCATGGAACTACGCCCCCCAACTGGGCCAGAAACTCACCCCAAGTGCTATCCCGCATGGAAACGCAATACCAAATTCTGAAAACTTGAAAAGTCACACCACCAGGGTTTGCAAAACACAATGTGAACGCAGGTCACCCCAACATCTTAAACCATATCCAAAGACACCCAAAACCATCATGTTTGTCCATGAATCACCATGTGAACGCAACATGTAGGAAACTTTTCTCTTCCTTCAGAAGTCTCAGTCTCACTTCTTGTGAACCTTCTGGAACCGCTTGGCCCTGTTGGCCTGCCAAGCCGACAGCCAAGCATTCCTGCCAGCTGTCGACTTCAGCATGTTCTTTTGGATCACGTTCATATTGAAAATTTCCCACAAGGTGTGCTTCTTCGAAGCTTGAGCCTTGAGGTGTCCCACATAGAACTCGGCCACTTTGACAATGTCCTTACGTCTCTTTTTGCTAAAGTGGCTCAGGATGAAGTTTCTACAGCCAATGTCTGTGGCCAGGTCATGCTCTTCGTCTGACAAGCAGTCGAACTCACTTGGCGGGGGTGCATCGCCTTTTTCTTCACATTGACCTTCTGCAACTGCCACAGGCTGGGCCACAGGTGTTTCTGCCACATGGGTTTGGGAGTATGCATCACACGGTCGAATTTCCTCCAACTGACCGTCCCACACTGGTCACGCGCAATGTCTGAGTTCCACTGCGGCTGATCCAAATAAGAAAAGAAACGGTCTTCATCCTGATGTCATCTACAATATTATATTTGAACAACTGTTTGAGCATAATACAACACTGCAATATATTGTGAACTTGATTTGTCTCACAATGACGGACACTCTGCCCTTGAAGCCACCGCCAGAACTCCGCTGCCAAAGACACCTTCCCGCTCATTGAAGGGCTGTAACGAGCCACCCAACGCCATCTCGGCCAAGCCATCCATCAAAGTACCAAGTACATGTGGAATTCAGCTGAGGCAAATCCGAGTCGGATTTTTAATGTTTCAAAGACATCTCCGTTGAAAAAGGAAGAGCCTGGAGATGCCTTGAGTCCCCACTCGCCGTGCCCCAAACAGTCTGAGACATTGGACACCGATCTGCCATGGCACTGCCGTCCCAGGTCGCCAGGTCGTTTCTGGTTCATCTTATTCCATGTGGCCGGCCCTATGTCGACATAGCCGCCATGGCCCAAAAAAACATGAAACGCCCCACTTCTACACCACTCCCCCTTGGCAGCACTCCTCGACCCCGGTTGAGGACGAAGACATCGACGGCATGGCTCATGGGGCGCCCGGGTCAATCGGCGATACTTTTCGATGATCTGGATCCAACAAAACAGCGTGGGGAAGTCATCCAAACAACCTGCTTTCAGGGTCTCAAACAACCTGCGCCAGCTGTCTCAAAACTCTGAGTTTGTGGAAGAGGACCAAAGAAAGGTCTTAGAGGCCCCAGAACTCAGAAAAGTCTGTATGATATTGGAGACCTCTCAAAATCGTCGAGCCATGCTGTCTTTCAGCCGAACGGTCCGCCAACCGCCGCGAACAAAACGTGTCTTCGTGGGAAAGTAAAGAAGGGCATCGTTTCACCAACTTCCCAGTCTTTTTGAGGATCCTTCACATTCCTTCACTTGAATCAAGGCTGATTGTGGACTGCGCCCTCCTTTCAGCCTGGTCTGGTTCTGGAACCTCAAAAAAGCATTTGGACGACTGGAACGTGAGGATTGGACGGGCTCTTAAAGCATCGGGTGACAAATCTAACTCGATACCTGGCATGGCTGAATGAGTCCGGACCATCCGCATCAACATCTGGACGCCGGGTCGTGTAGAGTAGCCCAGCCTGATGATCCCGAACTTACGTGATTGGCAGGTTTCTTCGTTGCGCCCTCTGGGGATTATTGTATAACGTAACGATCCAAGTCGCCAAGCAAACATAACATATCCCGAAATCTCTCGCCTTCACGCATGCCGGCTGCACTTCATTTCCATCTTTGGGAGCGAGCATTGTACGTGAAAGGTTCACAGCGCCAGAAACATCGGGCCGGGTTTCTTGTGGCGGTGGATCGGGAGTGTATGACGAGCTGCTTGACCAAGTATGACCATCATGACTCCACCAACCCCGCGCCGATGCGTCACGCGGGGCGCATGTTTGAACCTTGCGGCACCAAAAGGTGCTATCCTGACGGCACCTAAAGCTGCATGCTTCTGTGCGGGTGGCTGCTGAAGTCCTAGATTGTTGCAGCATGTCGCATGCCAACATGCGACAAGCAAAGCTGAACTATACCTAGACCAGTCAGTTCTTCTGTCTGTGTTTGGTCACACCATGACCGGGGGCCACTGATCCGGTGTGTTGATCTGGTTCGGCGTTCAGAACCACCTGGGGTTCTTCGACACCGCTTGAGAGGAAGCTTTTCGGAGAAACCCAGATTTGGGGGAGACAACGCTTCTCCAAGAACCAGTCCAAGAACCAGTCAGTTTCGTAAACACTGTTAAACTAGATGAACCGCGTTCGATCATAATTATCCTTAACTACCAGTTAGCCATTTGCCGTTTGCCCTTGCTGCACCAAGCGTCTTCTGAACCTGCTCACTGGGTCCACCTTTACAAGTTCATTCCACACAGCATACTTCCGGGCATGTCCACGGCATGTGAGGAATCTATCCACCAGCACCTTATTCAAAGAAACACAGCGAAACGTCGGTTCTAGAGACCACACCCGCATGAATCACCAGTATCGGCCCCCTCAGGTGGAAGCGGGACTCACCAGCTGCGTGCGTAGGGACTGCAACTGTTCCTGGGCCATGTGCGAGGTCCGAAGTCACCAGATGCCGCAGTGTTTGGACCGAAAGGAAACGGTTGGCATCCATCTGGCCACACGGTTGATCAGTGTATGGTTGATCAGTAGAAGGCAGCGTTGTCAATGTGTTCTCTGCAACATGCTCCCGAAAATGACCATCGCAAGATCTAACTGTAAGCCACCTGCCACTCCTTGGGGCTAGGTCCGGTCGTATCTTCGATGGGGTGACTGGGCTGGCTTGGGGAACTATGAAAAAGGGTGCCAACTATTTGGAAGAGAGGGCCCTTCAGCAACAGGTGAGCGAGGTTCATTTCACGACCAAGCCGTCGCGTCGGCTTCCCAAGACAAGTATATAACCATCGAGCTGGCTGGAATTTGTAGCTACATGGGGGGACTGATGTCATATGGAGTAATATGTGTAGTCTCAGTGGAGGGGCTCAGGATTATATAGGTGAGGGATGATCCTAGGACCACTTGGGGATTGTGCCGGATCTGGTGAGCGTCTTCCACCTTCTTCCAGAGCAGTTTGGACATATTAGCCCACTCCAGGATTCTCCAGTTCGTGGGTCCAGAAAAGTAAAATTGTGGAGTTGGCAAAACTCAATTAGCTGTCCAACATTTCAGGTACAATGAAACTCCGTGCAACCGCCAATGGCGAAATCCCTGCATCTCCTGCCTCTTTGTGAGGAAAGGTCTCCAGGAATTTTGATGATATCCCCCATAGATTGTGGCCCCAACAGTGGCCAATCAGCTTTCATCCTAAAAATTCCCCAGATATACCTCCAGTACTACCTCGACTTGGTTCTTCAGATTCAGGTTTTTGTTGTTTCACCTCCAAATTCCCACTTAATCTTCACCGCGTCACGTGCAAGCTGGCGCGGGGAGCGTCCACCGGCGGCGCCGCAGCGTCCGGGTTCAGTTGTCCCCGCAGCGCGGCCAAGCGCGCGCGCAACTCCAAGCCGGAGGACGTCTCATGACCTCCGTTGGAAGGACAAACGGACGGAGACCTCGAAGGGGTCTGAAGCTTAGAATCCGCAGTCTGAAGCTGGGAATCTGCACCGCGAAGTTGATATACATCGGATGAGATCCGAGTCTACCTGGGCCTCAGTGGATGATGATGGTTAGGTACCAGGCCTTGTTCAAAAATAGTGATTTGCTTGTTTACTGACTGTTGCAGGTACGAACGGACAAACCCAGGATGTACACTACACGAGGTGTAGATGGGCAAGAATGAGCTGTTGATGGGTTGGGATGGAGTGGATGTTCATTGCATTCGTTCGACCTATTTGGGGCGCCACACAAACATATCATCTGTTTGAGGCAAAAACCCTCGAGCCTCAGTCAGTGCTTTCCACAAACATCCAGAAAACACTAGTCAAGCTGCATTCTTGCTCATGGATGGGGAAGGAACATGAAATGCATTGAATTCAAACCACCATTGGATACCATTGGTATCCATTGGGATTTATATAAGTGGGAACGGCTCTTGATTGCAGGCATGCCATCCAGGAGACATCCAGATGTCAAGCAACTCTTCCATCAGAAACCGAAGATCATTCAGCTCATAGTGCAGCAGAAGGACTTACAAAACCCTGTTTCCATGACCTATACAGCCCCAATCCCACCATTGACTTTCATGAATCTTGATTTAGAAAAAGTACAGCATGTGTATATCTTTTCATACATCCCACCATTCCTGACTCCGCTGCGGTTCCCGTCCATCTTAATTGGCGGCCTCGCTCCGGAGGAGTTGGCCACATCGAGCTTGGCGGAGCTCCCACTGACAGCGCTTCCCCCGGAGATGCGGGAACCCGCGCAACGTCTGCGGCGAGGTCCGGTCGTGGCTCGGCCAGTGCACGGCGCTGGCGCTCCTGCAAGTGCTTCTCCATGAGCTCCCCTTTCCTGAGATGCAGCGAGCTGCAATGTTTTTTACTTTTTTTTTTCACAGAACAGAACTACGGGTCCGGGGATGTTGACTGGATGTTGAGCACTAAGAGTGCTCCAGTCCAACATGCTACGCAGGGCACAAGTCTTGTACCGAGCAAACTGCAAGAATCTGCACCGAGCTGCAGCAAATCCATGTCTCCCGCCCGCAAATCCCAACATGTCCTGGAAGGAAATTCCTGCCACCTTCTTTGCAGCGCTCTTCCCCACTGCCTAAAATGACCACCAGCAGTTGAAGCTCAGAACTGCACCCTCAACACCCGGACTTGCATGTGCTACCGTTCAATTCGGTGGCTGAGGGACTAGTCTGAACCTGCGTATGTGAGAATGCCAACCAACTCAAGCGTCAATTCAACAAGCATGTCAAAGTATAAAATAAATAAGGAACTCTCACAGTCTCACAGTCACCTTCACGGTTGCCGTCCTACTCCAGACTAATCTTGCCCCGCACGATAGAAAACTTTCACATGCCCAGTTCGTAGCTCGTAGTGGAGCTTAACGGAGCTTCAGGCCACCAAAAATGCCACTAGTCCGCTCATCCCCACCTCAACCTCTCCCCCCCCAGCCTCTCCAGCCTCTCCCAGCCTCTCCCAGCCTCTCCAGCAGCAGCCCCTGACCCCCAGCCTCTCCAGCTATGTCTCAAGAGTTCCTCCTGGATCCGTTGTTGCGCCTCGCGTTGCGCCGCCAAGGATTGCCCCACTCGGCGCTGCAAGCCCGCGGCCAAGAGGTTCCTCGCAGCGAAGCGGGGTGGCGTTGGCGCAAGTGTCACGGAAAGAAGCGCAAAGCACAACCACGCACAACACCAAATAGAACTGCAACACGAACATCTGCAACACAAGCAGCAGTGGCAGCAGGCAGCGACTTTTGTGGCTATGAGAGGAAAAATCCAGTTGTTTTCTGCTCACATCGTTTGAGGATCGACTCAGCGGCCCTATGTCCGTGCACCTCTTCAGTCTGTAAACATCGCCAAGGCCGGTGTGTAGACAAATGAAACACAAAACATACACAGTATGGACTAGTATGGACTCAACAAGACTCAATCATGCTTAAGAGTCGCAGCAAAATCACCAAAACCATCCAAAACCCATTGGTTGGGGTGTGTTGAGGTGTCTCACTCCAAAAAAACCGTTGTAAATTATACTTTATTGCTCACACCTCCTCATCCCAGGTCCAACTCTTCCCAGGCTCGAGGAAGGGGTGCTATGGTTCGCGATGATGGCGCGCTGGCTGTTCAGCTGCTCACGAAGGCTCTCCAGCCTTGGCTGTTCAGCTGCAATGAGGGAAATCTGAAAGAACCAAGATGAACCAACTTGCCCGGAAAAGGCAGCAATATGCAGCCACCAACCCGTTTAAAAGGATGTAAAAGGTGTTCCGCGACAGCATTGACATGGGTAGGGCAAACTACAGTACCTTTTGACCCACCCCTCTAATCTGCCAAGTTGGCACTTTGTGTGGGTCCTGACCACCGCAGTTTCCTTGTGAAAAAAAGGGGGTTAACTTTAGAAGAGAAACCAATCCCCGAAAAAGGGATAAAGGATCTTTAAACTTTAAAGCTATCCACTGGCTGGGTAGGGGTCACAAACATCTGTTTGCAGTTC